GGGAGAAAGTCTTTAGAGAAGAGCTAGAAGACTTGCCCTGTATCATATTTTTATTTATCAAATTCTGGGAATTTTGAAGGACGGTACTCTTGTACACAGAGGAAAGGAAACAAAAGCCTTCTAAAAGTGTAAAAGTTAAGTGTCTATGTTTGCATTTCCTCAATTGAGCCTGTTGGAACTTCAGATGTTCCTTTAATTTCTCTAGCTTCTGGATTTGTCCTTTATATCAAACCTGCTCATGTATGTGTGATTTGGCTCAGTTCCTGGTTTCTGCCTTTCCCTCTTGAACAAACTCACTAATTCCCTGGCTTCAGACCTGTGGTGTCAGCATTTTGACAATTGTTATTGGCTTCAAACCCAGCCATATCTTTCAGTTTCCACCCAACCCTCGCAAGAGTGTGTGGGACCTGACATTATTGATAACTTGGATGGAAACACTGATGGCATGTAAATCAAATTTTTGGATGACATAAAGCCAGGAGAATAACTAATATAGTGGGTGACAGAATTAGGACAACGAAGATTTCCATAGGCTGGAACAAATAATGTAGCTGAATTGAATTCTGAGTTTAGTTTTAAAACTCAAGTGCATAAGCACAAAATGGGAAGTCAAGAGTTTCTTCTGCTACATATGGAAATGACATAAAGTTTAAGCAGATTACATTTCCTGTGAGTCATTGGAGTGATGTGCTCAGTGGGACTGCCAAAACCAAAAAAACTCAAAACAGTAGTGTGGTGTGACGCTTCACTGACAGAGTGGATAAGCCACTGTGGAAATTATTCCATCTTACTCTACCAGACCACACTTAGAACATCAGATGTGGTCCAGGGCGACACACCCTAAGGCAGACTAAGCCAAACTAGAGTGTGGCAGTTTCTACCTCCCATCACAATATGGTTTCTTCTTTACCAAGTTACTGATAACTCTTTTATAAGCAATGGACACAGTTCATGCCTTACAGTGGCCTGACCTTTTCTGGAGTATTTGACACATTGACCGTTTCTTCCTTGTGTTCTCTGGTTTCTTATAATTACACTTACTTTTTAAACTATTGTTCTGAATTTTTCCTCCCCTTGCTCCACAAATATCATGTTACCTATGTTTTCTTGATCACTTTTCTATAGATTCTCCAAGGATCTGTTCTATACATGCCCTTAAGCTTCAACCACCAAATGCCTTTGACTTCCAAATCTTTGTTTCTAGCCTTGACCTTTTTTGAGTTCTGGCACTATATATCCACTTTTGAGGGGTTAAGATAGTAAATTAATAAATGCCCAGAAGACAACAAGGAGATCTCAAAGGGGAATAGTAAAATGTCAAAAGGAGATTCACAGTCAGGTGCCATGGCTCAAGCCTGTAATCCTGGCTACCTGGGTGGTGGAGAAAGGGAGGATCATGGTTTGAGGCCAGCCCATGCAAAAAGTTCACGAGACGCTATCTCAACTAATGGGTAGGTATGATGGTGAATATCATTTGAGCTACGTGGGGAAGCACCAACAGGGGATCATGGTCCAGGACAGCCCAGGCATAAGGGACGACCCTGTCTTAAAAACCTCCAAAATAACCGACACACACACACAGGGCTGGCCAAGTGACTCAAGTGATAGAACACCTACCTCACAAATGCAAGGCCCTTAGTTCAAAAGGAGATTGACGAGACAAATCTAGTGGAGATTCCTTACAATCCAGAAGCCCACGTAATTGCCATTTACCATAAACGTGCCTGTCACTTTGCCTGCATTGCATTCTAGGAAGAGGTGTGTTCTTGAAAGAATGGATTCATACAGCTTTCTACAGTCTGGGGTCAGAAGTGGAACAGGTATGTTGGTGAGACTCATCTTTAGAAATAACTAGCAAGTCTTCCTTTTGCCTTCTCAGAAAGACATAGACCTGGAAATATAAAACCTTTTTATTTTTGTAATTTTAGAGTTTTCATCATTTTTATTTCATTTACCTTCCCATCGTTCTTGGAAGCAAAAGCTTTAGCATTAAAACAAAGAGAGAGAAAGAGACAGCTGGGTGCTGGATGGCTCACACATGTAATCCTAGCTACTCAGGAGGCAGAGATCAGGAAGATGGGAGTTCAAAGCCAGCCCAGGCAAATAGTTCAAGAGACCCTATCTTGAAAATATCCATCACAAAAAAGGCTTGGCAGAGTGGCTCAAGGTGTAGGCCGTGAGTTCAAACCCCAGTACCACACAAAAAAAAGAATTGCTTCTTGCATTCCTTTGAAAATAACAGGGAGGGTAGGAAGTGAAAGAAGGCACCTTCGTGTGGGTCAGGTTTGGGGAGAGAAGGTGTTAGATGGTGAGACAGAGGCCACCGAGGTGGGGTGAGGGGTATCTTGAAGAATTTGCTTCAAGGAAAAAAGGAAGCTGATGCCAGTGGCTCACGCCTATAATCCTAGCTGCTCAGGAGCAGAGATTAGGAGGCTCGTGGTTCCTAGTCAAACCTGGGCAAGTAGTTCTTGAGATCCTATCTCAAAAATACCTTTCACAAAAAAGGGCTGGCAGGGTGGCTCAAAGTGAAGGCCCTGAGTTCAAACCCCAGTACTTAAAAAAAAAGGAAAATCCAAGGAATGTAAACAGACTCAACACAGGGACTCAAAGGCTTACCACATAAAAGACAGAATTTGGGAATATTTGATCTCAGTTGTTTGAAGATGTCCACGAGCTGCCATGAAGAAAGGGCCTTAGAATGTGGCATACAGCCCTGATAGACAGAATTTGGACATAGGATGGAAATTGGGTGGGGTGGTGTTGGGTGAAGAGGGGAGAATGGCAGGCCAATAGCTTTGCTCTGGAGCTATGAGTTGTTTGGAAATGGAACGGGCTCCTCAAGGAGGTAGTGAGTTTCCCCTCGTTTGCAGATGACCACATAGCAGCTTTTTTTTTTTTCTTAAAGAAAATGCAAGCACAACATAGGCATCCACACTGATGAATTCTAGGGTATTTTGCAGCCCTAAGAGTGTACAATTCTACGAATATACTGCGTGTCTAGACATTTAGGGACAACTCCAAAAGCTTACCATCTGGTTATGAATCAAAACACATGAGAACTCATTAAAGAAATTCTTGGTGGCTCATAATTAAATGTCAACATCAAAGTTGTCAGCAACAATAACCAAGAGAATTCATAGAAAGAAACCTGGAAATGATGAATGTGAGTCCTCATATGGTACTATGGGGGGAAAAAGAACATTCTTGATGGGCCAGGGTTGGTGGTGCACGCCTGTAATCGCAGCTACTCAGGGTGTGGAGATCAAGAGGGTCAGGCTCAAGCTAGCTCAGGCAAAAAGTTAGCAAGAATCCCATCTCGACAAATAAGCAGAGCATGGTGGTGCACCCCTGCATCCCCAGCTATGTGGGCATGGCTCAAGTGGTAGAGCACTTGCTCAGCAAGCATGAGGTCCTGGGTTCAACCCCTAGTACCACAAAAGAAAAAAAAGAATATTCTTGGTGAGTCAGCATACTCAAGATGTGGAATTGTATAGGTCCCAAAACCATTTATTCAACCTTCATTATGATTTTTTTTTTCTAAAAATGTTAAGCCACTAAGCACAACATCCTAATCCTAATGAGAAAAGTGGAAGGGCAATATCTGAATCAAGTGCTTTTAAGTATAGTTTATCTTGGAGGTGCTATTTTAACAGGTAAAAGAGATGGTAACAGCTATTTACAAGTCAGTTACCTTAGGGTTACAGAGAAGAAAGAATACTAACCAGGAAGGATGAAGGTTGTAAGTTCCTTGTTTGATTGTGCAGTGTTGGGAAACTGACTTGTAGCTAGTTTTTTGTTGTTGCTTTTGCTTTAATTTGGAAAAAGAAAAGGCGCTTCCCTCAAAAGTGCATGCTTAGAGTTAGTTCCCAAGGACTGCAACCTTTTGAAGACGATGATTATAGAAACTGGGTATATTTGTAGATGTGTGTTTGGAGAGACAATTGTGCTTGTTTACCTGAGGTAACAAACTGTGTTTATCACAGCTGATGATTTGTCCCTTGAGATAATTTACATGTTGGCCATGACTACTGATCTTATAATTAATAATTACTCAGCAGTATCTAAACAATGTGAACTTTGTTGCTAACTTAGGAGAGAAATAAGAACACTTAAAAAAATTTAACATTATACAAAGTGCTTTCTTTTCTTATTTCTATTAATTTTTTCCTTTTGACACCGGGTCTTGCTATGATGCCTGGGCTGGTCTCGAATTCCTGGACTCAAGCGGTTCTCCTGCTTCAGCCTCCCGAGACTCTGGGACTACAGGTGCACAATGGCATGCTTGATCAAAAAAATCTCTTTTAGGTCCTTCTTCTTACAAGGTTTATAAATTCCAGAAGACACTTTTAATAGATGATTCACTTTCAGAACCAATGCAAAAATCAAGGTTCTCTGGAGGTGCAAATAGCTGTGTTGTTTACCCCATAGTGAGTCTGACGAGGGTTGTGAGTGGGCTTTGGCTGAGGACTGACAGTGCAGTCTGAAGCAAGAGTGCAGGTTTTAGAGTCAAACAGGAGTCCTGTGAATCCTGGTGAGGTAGACTGAGTGTATGGATAGTCCCAACTAATGGCTTTCCTGGACTCATGCCAAAATGAGATTTGCAGTTCTTCCACCCTTTGATATTTGGCCAGTGTTGTGACTTGCTTCAGTCAATAGAAGATGGAGGAAGTGACTCAAAAAGTCTTTTGAGCTAGGCATGACGGTACATGCCTGTGAGCCCAGTCACTCAGGAGATTAGCCAGCCTGGAAGAAAAGTTCATGACATCCCAGCTTAACAAATAAGCTGGGCATGGTTGTGTGTAGCTGTGACCCCATCTACTTGGGAGGCATAGGTAGGAGGATCTTAGTCTGAGGCCAGCCTCTGGGGAAAAAAACCCACAAGACCCTACCTGAAAAATAACTGAAGTCAAAAAAGTGTGGGGGCTCAGAGCTCAAACCCCAATACTGCCAAAAAAGTTCAGTCTCTCTCTCTTTCTCTTTCTGGGATGGGCTTCTAAAATCTGGAAGAGTGCATAGAGTAGAGCCCAGTATCTTGTGGTTAGGATACACAAACATATAGTCACTCTACTATCAATCATGTTGAGAGATCCAGCCACTGATGCTTGACTTGTAGTCTTCTGAGCAATAATAGATGCTTATTGTTTTAAGATACTGAGTTTTGGAAAGATTTGTTTTTGAGTGATTGCTAAATGGTGGCTCAAGTGGTAGAGAGACTGTCTAGCAAGCGTGAGGCCCTTAGTTCAAACCCCAGTACCACCAAAACCAACAACAAAAAAACACAGTAAGAGTATCTCCTTTCAGTTGAATAATTGAAAAATTCAGCGCAGAAAAGATAGCCCACAAGTCTGAATGGAGGGAGGGCAATGACTGATTTGTTTGCCACAGGGCCTAGTGCAATGGTAGATACCAAATATAATTGAAATAATTCACCTATGAGTGAATACTGACTGAATAATGGTCCACCACAAACACCATCTATTCTAACATCCAAATGGAAAATTCAAGAGTTCAAAACTTGAAGCCTCCAATTAGACAGAAATAAAAACACCTTCCTTTTCCCTCGTGCTAAGTAAATAAACACCCTTCCTTACATAGTCCAGGTAGCTGCACAGAATGGGGAGTGAGTAAGGAGGAGGAGTCGAAATCTTACCAAGGGAAGTCACTTATTAGTTTCAAAATCACTTCAGTGTCTTGTAGGAATTCTCCCACACACAAACCCACTTTCCTACCCCAACTGTCTTTCCTCCCACCCTCTTGGACTTGCTACTACTACCTGATATATATGTGCACTGCTCTGTGCAGAGACTTGAGGGGAGACACACCTGGATATGCAGAAGGTTCTGGAATGGCATCCACACAGCACTCACGATTCCTGGAAAGAGTGTGCAGTGCTGGATAAAGGAATCTTGCTAAAAATTTTCTTCCGTGTTTGGACTTTAGTCCATGGAAGAGAAGAAAAAGAGGCAAGAATAAAGGACAGGCTGAATAGGTTCAATAACCAAACTCAAAATTTCTTGGAGTCAGTAGTTGTCCTTCATTTGTGCTGCTGGAACCCTTCCTCCTTTCTTTGTAGAACCACTGCCTGCCTCTAGGTCCTCCCAAAAAACTGAGCTCCCTAAGAAATAGGGAGTACCTCTTCTTCCCCACTCCCTGCCCAGCCACAAGAGGAGAGCTGGCCAGAGGTGGATGTTGTTCATGAACCTTCTCCCACTCTGCAGACTTGGGTGCAGTGCAAGGGCGGATCTCAACTTTGTGCATAGTTGATCTTAGGAAAACCCAGCAGAGGCCACTGCCCTGAAAACCAGAAGGTGGCTCATAGCACTACCTTGATTTTGGGGTAACTTGGCTTTGCAACTCCCTCCCAGAGCACAGGTGTACACAAATACATGGTCAAGGTTCATCACTGAAAGAGAATGATTTCAGTATGATGGGAAAAGGTACCAGCCTCCCAGATCCTTATGGTATGCTAAAGAATCATAGACTTCTTTTCACTGGTGCCTAACATCTGGGTGATATTTACCCATTCATTCGCTCATTAATTAAAAATGTACTGAGCTTGCTGTATGCAGGAAAACTTGGTTTTGCTAATGATACAGATTGAAGACAGGGTCCCTGCCTCAAAGGCCCAGGACAGGTAGCTGGCTGCAGTGGAGTGAAAGAGAATGGTAAGAAGTGGGAAGTAAATTAGGGTGAGAGTTCAGGAAATGTGATTGGGTGAGCAGGAGGTCTGTCCCGATTTGTCCTGACTCTTTCAGAAAAAGTAGGACTTGGCCAGATGGAGAAGGGACAGTTTGGTAAAGCAAAGAATATGGCAATGATTCAGAGATATTCAAGCAGAGGCAGTGACAAGTGTGGCTGAGGAGAATAGCTTTCATCAGCCCTCCCAAGACTTCCATCTGTCCTAAACCATACCCAATAAACAAGTGACCTAAGGAAAAACCCTGAAAACAGAGCTTCAATTCAACACCCTCATCTCCAATCCCAATTTCATCATTATCCATGAAAATTCTGGTGGGGCCACTCTAGGAATGATTCTTTTTTTCCTGGTGGTACTGGGGTTGAATTCAGGGCCCTCGTGATTGCCAGGGAGGCGCTCTACAACTTGGGCCAGGCCCCTGCCTGAATTTTTTTTTAGTAATTTTTCAGGTAGGGTCTTAACATTTTTGTTCAGGGCTGTCCTCAGTCGGTGATTCTCCTGCCTATGGCCTCCCAAGCAGCTGGTACCACAGCCCACACAACCACACCACCTTATTGAGATGGGGTATCACTTTTTTGTCAGTGCTGGCCTTGAACTGCAATCCTCCCAATCTTCTCTGGCTTCCACATAATTGGGATTATATGTGTGAGCCACCATACCTGGTCTGGGAATGATTCTTGTATGCTGAGAGCTTGATACAGAAGGAGGAGAGGGAGTGATAAAGTTTATGCCACTCTGAGTCTCCATCCTGCTGGGCTGACTCCTTCTGTGTATGTTTGTCTCCTGCCTGGAGCTGTCAGTATAGCATTCAAGTTGAGATTACAGATGAAGTTTACATCTGTAGAGGAAGCAAATATTCATTCTAGCTTCTCCCTGGTCATGTCGAACTTGAGTCTGCCTGTGTTGGGAACCACACAGTGAGCTCGTCTATTTCTCTACCACTCACTACAGTGCCCTTATATAATACACAGCCATTATTATTATTTTTTTTTGATGAATGGATTCATGGATGAATGAGCAACTGTGAATATTAATGCTGAGTCAATACTATGTCATTTATAATAAAGAGTGAATGTTTTGCTCAATGTGACCCACTGAAACCATATTTGAATTTGAACATTCAGTTCCAGCAGGTAATTGCCCACTGTTGTATTGTGAGTGTGATCCAGTTCCCAGAGAATGAAGCGTGTGCCTTATCGGAGTCTAATTTCACCCAACATCAAGTGGTTTCCTTGCAGATTCCTCTGTGGCAGCAGAGAAGTGAAATTCCACAACACAGCGAGGGTGACTCACTTTTTCATCTGTAAGGACTGTTCCTCAGTTCAAGTTTGACACTTGCTCAAAAGATGAAACCAGCCCCATGCCAGGTAAATGACACCTGGACGACACTTCAAGGATGAGTGTTTTATTGGAGTACCAGGCAGTTGGCAGAGTAAATACATGGTTACAAAGTGTTTTCCGTTGGTTTGCTTTATATAATGACAACAAAAATAAAACCACAACACGGATATTTTTTTCTTGAAGCTATGGACTTCAGAAGGCCTATCCCCAAACCCCTCTGCTTATGGTAAAGCAAGAAGGTACGTGGTGCCAACTTTCTACCTAGTGAAACTGTATTCATGTTTAAGTCGGCGATGTCCTTCTTCTCCCATGTTAAAATCACCAGGAAGCACATATCATTTGGCAATTTTTTAATTTTTTTAAACACTGCTGGGCTTAACCCAGGGCTGCCAGCATCCTAGGCAAGCACTACCACTAGGCCTCTCCACCCCCACCCCGCCACTCCATTAAAATCACTTTTGTTTGGGAGAATTGGAAACCCCTCAGAAGTCACTGGCTCTGAAAATTACAAAAGCAGACTTAAGAATCTTTATAATAAAACAGAGAAGGTTAGACCTAAGGCCCTGCAGGTCTTCACACTCAGCCTCCTTAAAAACCTTTGGATAAACTCGAATCTCACCTTTGTCATCTTCTAAACATTTTTCTCTTCCCATTTTTTTTTGAAAAGAGAGTTTATGTTAAATAATGTATTGCACTAAAGTCTGTGCTCCGAACTACATAGGAAAAAAATGACAAGCTAGTTTTTTCAAGGCAAGTATCTTTTTTTTTTTTTTTTTAATGAAAGGTCAAAAGTAATATAACTAGCTTAGAGTCATGGATTTTTTTGTGTGTGTGTTGTATGCCAAAATCCACGTCTTGAGGTTTTATGAATCGGCAGTTAATGTGAACGCAGAATATTTTAACGCACTTCAATTTCCAGTTCCATCTCTGACTGCTTGTGTGAGAGAACTTATCTTTGTGAAATATGTACAGAAAAGTTCTTTTTGCTTTGCAGTATGTCTTTTCACTTAATGCCTCTCTGGCCTTCAGGGTGAATAAAGGAGACACTAATATTCACTCAGCCAATGCAGTGAACTCTCTTTCAGGGTTACAAAAGCTCTTAGCTTTCCAAGGCGTATGAGGAGTAGCCCTGCTGAGGGTGCCTGAGCTGGGATTCCATGCCAGCTATCATTCTCCCAGAGAGAAGAGCATCTTTGTGAGCTGGGCACTGCTCTTTTGGCAACCTGCATTACTGGGCAGAGCTTCTGGCCATCTGACTGTCTGCCTCCTTGGACTTTGGACTTTATTTATGGGAAAACTCAACAAGAGCCGAAAACCTAATTAAAAACATCTCCCTGCCTAACAGCAAGCCCCAAATAGCCCCTGCACCAGTGCTAGGTGTTTAGTTCTCACACTTCTCAAAGCAGCACGACACATACCAACCAGTTCCTGTGCTGGGCACAGGCATATTAAAATTACTTGACATGCAGGAAGCCATTCTTCAAGGCTGTGGCTTTCTAGCAGGAAGTTCTTATGATGACTAAACCCCAGTTTCTGTCCCTGAAGGCAGAACCTTCTGGGAGAAACAGGAAGTAAACATGATTTCAGTGCCGGGATACGAGTGAGTACTGGGTAAGCAGGGCCGTCAGGGGAAGGGGCCTCTACCTTCTACTCCGAGCAATGGGATCTCTGAGAGACACAAGGGTCTAAGAGAAGTTGAAGCAATTCAAGATGAGGCTATGCTCATACTGATGGTTATTCATCCTTTAACACCAAGAAATTCCTCATGGTTAAGTTGTGGGACTTCTCTGAAGGATATACTTGCAAAACAAGCTCTTAGGACAGCATGTAAAATTTATATAGGAAAGCTTCAGTGCCACTACCTGAGACTCAAAATTTTAGGGAACAATCTGGAATTTTTTCTGCAGGCCAATAGAACATGGCTTTTTATCTCTCCCAAGAAAGTGTATCCATCTTTAACATTAATGATTACAGGTACCATCCCTTTGTTAGATGTATTTGTTTCTATTTCCTTCCGGGAAGGAACAACTTTTTCATTGTGGTTGGCACCTAACAGGTACTCAATGAATTTGCTGAATGACCAAATAGAAACCACTTCTATTTTTAATAACATCTTTGGAACTGGATGATAGATACCTTGGCTTTTGTCTTATTTATTTATTCATTTGTTCCCTTTTGAGGATGTTTAGAAAGAGAGAAAGCCGTCATGATTTGAAAAGTGGCCTATTTTTTTTCTTCTAGATTAAATTCTCATGGGCCTTTTAATCTCTATGAGACAAAGCACTTTATCTTTTCTTTTTTAATTATCCTTATGCCTAAAACAGAGTGCAGTATGTGCTGTACAAATAATGTCTGTTTAATTGGCAGGCTTTGAGCTGATAATTTAGCCAAGCTGTTTGCATGGTGGAAGGCTAATCTAGAATGCTTTAGAGCTTACACATGCTAATGAAGTTTTCTTGCCTCATCTGAATTTCCTTAGGAGGTGATTAATTGATAAGAATCAACAAGATTAATTAACAAGAAGTTGATAGTAGAATTAGTAATAGCTCCAGATGGTCCCTGTACCACTGTCTTTCTTCCTGGTTGTCAGCTCAACTTCTCTGGAGACCTGCCAGGCTTTGAACTCTCCTTAAGAGACAGTGAGGGTAATAGAGTAGATGGCCAGGTCGGAGTGACAATACATTTGCACTCGTACTCAAAAAGTCTGAAAGTGCAGGAGAAATGCACAATTAGCAGAAACAGGCAGAGAATACTGCAAATTGGGCTTTCTGGTGTTTTCCAGAAAACTGCTCCCTCCCTGGAACCTCCCTACTTCTCACCCAGACGCTCCAGTGCCTTAGAAATTCCTACTAAAATGCTAAAGCAATAATTCATGGTGGAGCAGTTCAATTTCACAAAGGTCTGCCTCAGTGCTCACGCCCCGTGTGCATTTCCTCTGGCTTTATTATTCAGTTTAAAGAAGTATTTCATAATATTTTGATAGCAACTCACATGCAACCCCTAGGTATCCCCACAACTAGACCCCTTTGACTGACTTTGTTCAAAAAAGACTACCGCCAGATTGTCCCTGTCAGTCCTCTGAAGGCTGCTCTGGGGCGCTCTCCTGGCACTCTTGTGTCTCCTTCCCACCATCTTCATGAGCAGCTGGGACACAGGTGTCTGCAACATTCTCGACCACCCACTGGCACTCGTGGACACCAGTAGCCTTCACCTTTTGTGTATCCACGCTGCTGGTGGCCAGGCCTTTCCCTTCTGCTGCTTCTGGTTCCTCAGAAACCTGGCTCTCTCCAGGGCAGATGGGGTCAGAACTTAAAATGCCACCTTCCTGTGGCATGATGTCACCTTCCACAGCACAGGTGGCCTCACCTCCTTCATGGGCATCCAGCATGGACGCCCTGGCTGCCAGCTCCCTCTCAGTGGGGCCTGGGCAGCCTGTGTCCTCCATGTGCCCTGTATAGGCAGGTGGACGGGCAGGGATGCTGGCCTCTGGAAATGCTCCCAAGTCCACCACGGGAGCCTCAGCTTCTGGAGGGCAAGGATGGGCTTCCTCACCAATGTTGCTGTCTTCAAAGTTGTCCTGCTGGGGGGCAGCTGCCTGGCTGGCCTCTGTATAGATTTGGGTTTTTTCCTCTTCTTTTTCATTTTCTTGGGGAATAAGTATCCCCTCATTTATGTCTTTTTCAGGGTCTGGGGCAGACTCCACTGGTACTTCAATGGTCACTGTCAACAATTCTCTGAGCTCCTTCAAGGATCCTGAGGCAGTCGTGGATTCTGGCTTTTCATGGATGGGTTTTTCATTTGCAGCGGTCCCTCCAAATTCTGGCTCTGATGAGTGTGCACTGACAGGTCTTGCTGTGTCCTCTGCAGCCACAAGACTCACAGCAGCGTCATCCTCACTACACACAATCACCTGCCCACCCCCACCTGCAAGAGGGCTGGGCCCAGGGAAAGGAAGGCTTTCTCCTCTAGCCATGGAACTTGGGACCCCAGGCTCCTCCTTTTCCTCTGACTCCTGGAACACTTCGTTACTGGGGGTCTCACTATCCTGAGCTCCTGGCAGGAAGGTAGATGCTCTCCTGGCAGGGCTGGCCTGGTTTGACCCGGTGGTGATTTTTAGATCTGTCAAGCTGGACACGCTTTCACTGGGCAAGGCTATGTTATCTTCAAATAAGTTGTGTTTCTTCAAGACAGCAGCCTCCTTTATCACTGAGAGGTAACAGAAAGCAAAACGTGACATTAATGCTCTGCCTGACAAACCTGGACTTTTCTACTTTTATCCAGAAGCCCAGCTCCTCTGTCGGCTTCTCTGGTTATCCAAATTCTGCAGTTTAAGACCCAGAGTACATTCATTCTCTTCTCGTAGCCTGTTCTGATGGTCAAAGAATGCAAACCCCTTTCAGCCTCTGAACCTTGGTAACAATCATTCATTCATTTATTCAAACAGCAAACACTTGCTAAGCATCTTGCTAGGAACCTAGAGGTGAATAAAATATGGCTTTGCTTTCAAGGAGCTCACGGCCTACAACAGTATTCAGTCTGTCGCACTTTTCTAGCTGCTAATTTGTGTGCCTAATTTGTTCACCTAGACTGGAACTCCTTGAGGGCAGGGGCAGGCCTTACACGTCTCTGTTTTGTCCTCACAGTACAGTCTTGAATGTGTAACAGGCAGCTAGAGAGCCTGGTTGGCCTGTTAGGTTAATACAACAATAGACATACATCTAGCTCAGCATCAAAGTCCTCGAGAGGAGCAAAGAAAAGAACGACACACTAAAAGTAGCATCTGTCAGTTTGACCCCAGGCCTCCACTGGTGGTCGTGCCTGATGGTAGTGTCTAAGAGCACTACACACTAGGGGGTGCCATTCATATCAGAGGCCACCATAGATTTGCACATTCAGCATAAGTTATCAGCAGACAGCAGGAGACTATCCTGTTCTACCAAAGTCAGTATACTACGACAATTTTCTGAGAGAGGGAAGTAAACTGTCTGGAGAAAAGGATGCTTCTAATTTAACCAAAGTGTTCATAATGGGCTGTGGCCTTCACTGGGCCCCTGCTTTGTGCAGGTGGCACACCTACACCTTTACCTTCCTATCTCTTTGGATAGCTGTGCCCTTGGGCTTGGGCGATTTGCTCTGGGGAGGCATTTTGGGGATACTCAAGACCTCCCTCATGGAGACCACATATGTTTCAGGCCCGCAGTTTGGTGGCAGTCCTCTTCAGCACATTTTTATCAAGCTTAGCTTATTCTCATTGAAATTCCAGGCAGAGCTCCGTTACATAGCGCACTGGATGTCAGCATAGTATTGAAGCTCACAGGGCACTGTGTCATCGCCCTGTGCCTTTTTCTGTCTGAGTGGAGACAAGCAATGTCCTGGGAGAGCAGGGATCAGGCCCTGCTGCTGAAGTCACCTCCACCTGGCCTATGTCAAGGAGCTCTTCTCCCTTGTCCTGTCTGACACAGCATAGGGAAGCCAGCTCTTCATGAGAGACCACCAGGTTTAATCCCATTAAGCCTCCATTTCTCATCTGTAAAACAAGGCTTGACATTTTCTCATCTCACAGTCTGCATTGCATTGAAAGAGAAAAGAATGTTTAGCAGGCCAGCATAGTGCAAGCCAAGTCATGAGTGTTCAGTCAAGGCTGGCATCCTTCCTTCTTTCCTTCCTTCTCCTTGCTGTCTTCCCAGCACACCATACCCAACTTCCTCTCCTCCTTTCTTACCTTCCTGAGTCCCTTCCTAGGGCTGCAACCCTCTGCGGAGAGTTCTCGCCAGGGCCAGGTAAGCCGACCTTACCTTTCAGAGTTTCGTCAAGAAGGAGCTGGTGTAAGATCTCTTCATAGACATTTTCCACATGGATCATACTTGTGTGATCTGCAAAGATGAACTGCTCATATTTCTGAAGCTCCTGGAGAGTGAAAGACAAGAAGATGCAGGGGAAAGGCATGAGATACCAGTCTCAGAGGAGACGTGGAATGGACTTCCACTGGTGATCCCCTCCTTGAAGGACACGGAGGAGGGCAAAGTTGGCACACAGGCAAAAGCTGCTTAAATAACAACTTTGTCCAACAGTCTTTGTGTTCTCTTTGATCTAAGACACCGTGTACCTCATATAAACTCTACAGATCCATGATAAGGTGGCAATCAGCCACGGGGGGTTCTTATCCCTATATCCTTGTATGGAACACGTCCTAGGTACTTCAATGTGGAAGACAGCAGAGATTTTTTATCATCCCAGTGTCTTGTCAGTGGGTGTTGGGTCTTCTTTTCTGTCTATTATAACTGAAGTGTTTCTTTCTTCCTTTTTTCTTTAATGTCAGCAGTACTTTACCAATGTATAAAGTGTACATATTAATACATTAATATGTATTAATCATAATATGTATTAATGTATAAAGTGTACATATTAATATATTAATGCAAAGACTTAAAAAGTACAGCCCAATGACATTAAATACATAAATATACCCAGGTGAACATAACCCAGATTCAGATGGAGAACACTTCTAACACCCTTCCCAGCACACACCTCTCCAAGAGAACAATTTGACATTGGTCACGACAGATTCACTTTTGCCCCTTCATGAGCTTTTCAGATTTTTCCGTGTTGTTATATATCAGCAGCTCGTTCCTTTTTATGAGTAAAAAGCATTTACTGTGTGGATAAACTAAAATTGTTTTTTCACACTCCTTTGACACTGAGATTTTTCTACTTTTTAGCTCTTATGAATGTACATTGATAATAGGAAAGCTTTTTTGGGAGGCAATCTCGCTATGTAACCCAGCGGGCTTTGAACTCCCAATCCTCCTGCCTCCATCTCCTGAGTGCTAGGATTACAGGTGTTTGCCACCACACCGGGCAGATGTATGTTTAATGTTCTTGGACTGGGGCCATCTTCTGGTTGGAGAGTCTCCTCTGTCCCTCTAACTGGCCCTGACACCACTAATTCCCTCTAGGATGGTCCAGGCATGGTGTAAAGTCTCCACCTTCCCTTCTTTCCAAGGGCTTCCAGATGGCTTGCCTGTTGTAAGCATGAAGACAGAGCTGGGAACACAATGTACCACATTATACCCCAGTGATGAACTCAGTCATCCTTGCACCTGATGGTGCTGGGGGAGGGCTCCTGATATGTGGCTCTTAGAAAACCAGGGACTTAGCACTGCAATTTGATGCCTTTTGCCTGGATGGTCAACACTTACAGCAGGTAATTGAAAGCTACCACATTCAGATAACTTTCAGAACTAAGACTTGGGGGAGCTGTGGCTCGGGACTATACTGCCAAGGGGCAATAATGGGATCCTTTCACACCTACCTTCAGGCAAAGGCCTGAAGAGGCATGAGCTTCAATGACCCCTAGAGGGTTCAGGACTGATGCACCAATATGGAAAGAGCACTGCCCATAAGACTGGACACTGCTCAGGACTTGCTTTTGTCCCTGACTAAGCCACACCACCATTCTGAACCTCTGTCTCTTCTTTCACACTGGCTCAGGCTGGAACAGGATTTCATTTTCCCTTCCTGGTCTTTATCTTCCCGTCACTCATACCTCAGGACCGTGTGAAAGCATGACTCTGGGAAGTCCTCTCCAGTGCCTTAAGCAGAGTTCAGCACCTTTCCTGAACTCTTCCCCAGAAGGCCACTTCTGTGCTCCCCTCACATAGCATCCTGGTAACCAGTCTTCCACCTCTATACTGTGCCCTCCAGGACAGCAGGGTGGCCCAGTGGCCTGGCACAATGCCTGGATCATGTTTAATATGTTTTTTACAATTAAATACATATTTGCTGAATAGAGGACCTTCAGGTTTTCAGCCAGCTACATGATTCTGTGGGAAGGACTAACCAAGGGCCACTGGATAGCAGGTCTTCTACCCTGAACTGACTGAGCTGTGTCATATTCTTAATTCTCTGCCTCAATTAAATTGGAATCCCAATAGGTAAGACACCTAAAAAACTAGATAGCATTTGTTGCCCTCAACGCAGAGAAACTAAAGCAGATACTTTAAAGCAACTGAGGCCAATAGGAGAAGGGGACCAGGAACAAGAGAAAAGGTTAGTTCAAGAAGAATTAACTTAGAAGGTAACACACATGCACAGGAAATCAATGTGAGTCAATCCCTGTATAGCTATCCTTATCTCAACTAGCAAAAACCCTTGTTCCTTCCTATTATTGCTTATACTCTCTCTTCAACAAAATTGAGATAAGGGCAAAATAGTTTCTGCCGGGTAGCAAGGGGGTGGGGGGAAGAGGGAGGGAGTGGGGTGGGGGGGGTAAGAGGGGGTGGGGGAAGGGGGGAGAAATGACCCAAACATTGTATGCACATATGAATAAAATAAAAATTAAAAAAAAAATTGGAATCCCAAGGGCGGGTCTTGGGGAGTACTTTTTTTTTTTTTTTTTAAAAACTCCCCAGGCAATTCTAACATACAGCTAGGGTAGGATTGAGTCGAACAGATCTAGGAAGTTGATACTTTAAAAAACCAAGGAAAACATATTAGTAAAATACAGACTTTTTCTACTAAGCAAATACCCTAATTTATCTATTTTTAATAAATCCAGAATTTTTAAAAGCTTTTGATACAAACACACTATCCTTTATTACTGAAAACTCAGGGTCCCTGCTCTTTTGAAAGTAGTCTTTCTTGATTAAAAGTTGCAAGCTCCTCTTACAGATTGGGCACAACTCACTCTGCCGAGGGGACTCTCATTATCCTTTCCTCACTTGGGAGGAGATGGCTCTGAGGCCCTGCCTTTGGGATTGAAAAAGAAAAAACTCCTAAGCAGAAGGTTTGTGTACAGATGTATGCACACGTTTTCAGGTGCTGAATTGTCTTGCCACATAAGACCAAGGGGTAGTTATACAGACGAAGTCTTTTCTCCCTTAGCTTAATCAAATCCTTTTTTTTAACCAAAATCCTTTTCTACTAAAGAAATATACCTCCATAAATGAGTGCAATACTAGATAAGCCAATGGCTATCTGAAGAAAAAGCAGTATTACAAAATATTAAAATGACCAAAAAAAAAATCCCACATTAAAAACACACAAAGGATTTTAATGTTCCAATGCTTGGATACTCACCAAGCTTCCAAAGAGTGCTTTTTAAGTTCTAAGCTCTTTATCATTAAGTCCCAGAGGGAGCAGGTCTTGCAAATGTCCTGGCTCTTGAATCATTTTTGAAATGTCCAAGTAGGAATCATGGTGGACACCATTTACTGAGTACCTACTGTGTTATGGGTACGTGCAAAGTTGGTTAAACTCTGGTATTAACCAGACTCTGTGCCTATTGCTTAACAAGTCAAGTTTTCTCATTTGCATAATGAAGATACAAATAGTACCCCTCCACTGGCTGTTGTGAAATTTACTTACATAATCTACACAAAACATTTAACAATGCCAAGTGCCTGGTAAGAATGCATCAGTATTAATTATATCTTTCCAGTCTTTTCAAACTTAAGAAGGATACTGCAAAACATTATCTGCATTTTTTAGAAGACAAAATCTAGACCAAAAGAAGAAAAGTGACTTGCCCAGAGTCCCAGAGCAGAAATATGGAAGAGCCAGGATTTGACCCATTGCTCTGCTCTGAGATCAAGTCACACCTTTGCCCTCGTGTGTCTGATGCTTGCTGTACTTTTACAGAGTGCCACTGATTTCAGTAAATAGAAGTTACTGGAGGTAACAGAGCAAATATCCTCCTGTGGCCATGCTCCTTTCTGATGTAGTGGCCAGGTTTCAGAGAATGCTGACCTCCAAGCTATACTATAATGGGGAACACAGGCTCTCCTCAGGCATCCTCTGAAAACTCTGTGCTTGGCTCAAGTTCAGATCATTTCGCTTTGCGATTCCCTCCAGTCCAGGGGTTGCAAACTCTGCCAGCTTTTTCTATGTTTAAATCAAGTTAATTGGAACTTGTCTGTCTGTGATCATCTCTGGTTGCTTTGCACTACAACAGCAGAGCTGAGCGGCTACAATACTTCCAACCAAACAGCTCACCAACTCCGCCCTGGTCTAGTCTGGTCCTTGCAAGTATGGCAGGGCGAGGACACGTCTGACCCTCAGAGACAACAGGAGCAGGCTCTTCGGCGCAACCTATTCCCTTACTGGTTTGCATGTGGACGCCAGTGCCTTCTGCAGGGTAGGGAGCGTGATTTGAACCAGTGCCTCCTGAAAGATCTTCTTTCGGATGGTGCTGCTGTCATAGTCATATTGCTGTCAACACAGAAACATATGCTAAATTGTAACATTGCAATCCGTTAATGTAACTTAAACAAAACCCCCACCCAGACACCTATGTCATCTTCCCTCCCTCCCCTCAGTTTCCGAGGGTCCTCACATTTCTACAGTCTCACAGTGCTTTCTATGTAATTCCCACATGTGCCAGGTGTAGGCTTTGACATCATGATCCATCTCATCCACCCCTATTACAAATATGGAAATTGAGGCAAGATCAAAACAGAGACTTGACGTCTGTTTTACATAGAACTAGGGGGTGAGTTTGGACTTCATTGCCCCTGTCTGGATAGGCAGGCCCGTGGGCACCGTGATCATCTATTACTCTCCGTCCCGCAGACATGGCCAGTGGGGTGTAATGATTTCTAGGACAAGAAAGGTAACGGACACCAGGGTTTGAGTTTAGATGTTACTCCCAGGGGGTTACAGACAACCTGGAGAATAGTCACGGGCAGGTGAGCAGAATGGTCAGACCAAAGGAAGATGGTTAAAGAGAGGAGAGCACCTACATCAGAGGCAAATAATGTCGGCAAAATTAAAGCCCTATTCAAACAACCTAAGGCTGCCATGTGGGAAAAGGGTATGAAGAAAGGTGGTAGAACTAGAATTCCCAGTGGCAAGAAAACATGTCTTTGTAGGCAGAAGGGTCTAGAGATGGAATGAGCTGTCCTGGGAGGTAGAAAGTTGCCTGACACTGGAGGTGTCCAAATCCTAGTAGGAACACCCCTGGCAGGAATGTTCTTGACATACTAGGTCCCTTTCTATCTGAGCTCCTAAGATTTGGACACCCTTCTGATTTCTCTCTTCCTTTCCTTCTGTCTGCTAAAGCACTACGTAATGGTACCATTTTCCTTCAATCCAATTGCTACTGCGTTATCATTTGTGTTACCATGGTCAATATTGCTTTTAATCTCAATGATTTGGTTGCCAGAGTTTTCTCCTGCTTGTGAGGCATCAGGTCTGAAATTCAGGGACTTACCCCTAGGCTCTCAGGGACTTTGATCTATTCCAAAGCACTGTTTAGGGGAAGCAGGACATACTTTCAAAAAAAAAATAGTGACCTAGGTTGTAAGGACAGTTTTAGCTGTAAGCTCACCATTAGCTAGCCTGGCGAGCTTGAGTGAGCCCCTCTAGCTTTCAGAGGGTCAGTTTCCTCATCTGTACAATGACGATCCAGAATGGATCTTGTCAGATCCATTCTGACAAGTTCCTATGAGCATCAAATGAAACCGGGTAGGATTTGAAGGATTTGAAAATATACTAGGTATGTGCGAGCTCCTCTTACTGCAGCCATTTTAATGTTCATTTAAATATGAAGCACACTTGAAACACTTTCAGCGGGCGTGTATCTTTTCTTTGGGGGATCTCCTTTGCCTTGAGGTTTTGATTTTTCTTTAAAAATGTTGGGTCAATTTAATGGATTTTTATTACACTGTAAACTCTTTCAAGACAGAGACTGTGCCTTGCCTCTTTTCATATACCATGTAATAGGCACAGTGCTGGTAGTGCACAGCTAATAAATGTCGGCTAAGTCCGATGGCTGTAAAAACTGCCATGCCACTTCTGTGGGCAATGATGCTTAGGACCTGCGGTACCTATAGCAGCCACTAGATGGCAGAGCAGGCACGAAAGTCAGGCTGAGGGATGCTGCCCGCTGGGGCTTTGGAGAAGAGGGACCGCCAGCATGAAAGGGAGAAAGGGGAGTTTTCCACTTCACAAAAAAGGAGGGCCACTTTCATGCTAGAAGCTTCCCACAAGTGAAGGTGAGGGTTTTACCTTTAAGACTCGAAGCTTAACCTTTTCAATGGCAGCTGCTATTCTGGAAGCCTCTCCTTGGAGATGAGGGGAGAGCAACTGCTCAAAAGTGAACACTGCATTCTCCATCAGCTGGAAACCAAACCAACAGACAGACAGACCGCAGTCAGATGTGGGGCCACCAGCCGGGGTCTGGTTGCCTCAGCTCAGACAGAAGGGAGGAGATGAGCAGTCAGGGTTCCCAGGCACTGCTCTGGGGTGACCCAGGACACCAGGGACCCATCCCACTCTCTGTATCATGAGACAAGTAGCCATGTGGCCACTGTAAGATCAGAAAGGTCTGGAAACTCCCACCAACACGTATATCTGTCTGTCTGCACGTAGAGCTGCCATGCTTATGGGTCAGAAAACAGCGGCAGGCCAGGTGTCCTATTCCCTGAAATTGTGCCTGTATCATTTCTCTAGAGACTACCATTCACTGCTGCTTGATTTTGTCCCTTCGTCATCCTTAATCCCTCAAAGTGTGGAGGTCAGATAATAAGACAATAACACCGCCAATAATTCTCAAGAGCACAACCTCTTTTCTTTCCAATGCCTATGATGGATCGAAAGCATCCACCACGTGCCTTTATCATTGCACTTCCAGCATGGAAGCGAATTATCTAAGAATCTGATTCCCGGAAGCAGGATCTAGCACAGTGTTGATCCCACAGTGAGTTCATCCAGAACTTCTGTGAAAGAGAATTGTGTCTGATCACACCCTTTCTTCATTTAGGAAACACTATAATGTGAAAAGAGTCTGTGTATTCACTCCTGTTTCCAGAGAAAAAAGGAGTCTACCAAGTAGACTCAAGAAATTCAAATTTGAAGCTGTGGTTAATTGGTTCAGTTTTCCATGGACTAGGTTGGGGAATTAACTTAACAGTGGTTCTCAATCCTGGCAGTGGGAATGGAATGGGGGTGGGGGAAGTTCTTTAAATCTTACAAATACATGTGTGTATGCACACATATATGTGTATATATATATATATATATATATACATAATATACATATGCACACATATATATGTATTCAAAATCACTGGAATGGAGTATTGCAAAAGTATTTGTTAAAATGTCCCCAGGTGGGTGGATCTGATAGTGCATGACTATAATCCCAGGTCCTCGGGAGGTAAAGATAGGAGGATCATGGTCTGAGGCTATTGGGGCAAAAGTGTAAGATCCTAACTGAAAAATAACTAAAAGCTAAAATGGGCTCAAGTGGTAGAGCACCTTCCTAGCAAGTTCAAGGCCCTGAGTTTAATCTCCAGTACTGCCAAAAAAAAAAAAGGCTCCCCAGGACTTTCTAACATGCTAGCAGCAGCCAGGGTTAACTCGACCAATCGATCAGTTATCAACTGATGCTAATTTATTTTCCTAGCTATTTCAGTTCATCAGCATGGAGGAAAGATGGAGCAGCTGGAAGGGCCGAGCATGTCCTCAGCCAACCTGAGTAGGGAAGGGCCTCATTTCCCCGGGCTCAGAACACCCTGCTTCATCTCCCTAAGCACATGTTCCTCCCTCTCTCCGTCATCCCCGATGGATGCCCTGCTGCGCCCACCTCTTGCATGTAGTTCTGTGTCCTCTGGATGACTTGATCCACATGGGGGACCTGGAAGCGGCTCCGGAGGCCCTGCAGGCGCTCTTGAAGCAGGGTGACTTTAGCATAACACGGTTCCATCTTCACAGAATCCAGCGGAAGTTTCATAAGCTGCTCCAGGTACTGCATTTTGGGGAAGAGAAAAACGAAAAATGCTTTCAGACTTAGGAACCGTATTTCCTAACACTTGAACTTGCAATAACCAGAGTGAATCACTATAGGTCTGCTCCGCCTGTGACCTCTTCAGTTGTCTTAGTTCCCTCTTCCAGTGTGAGAAGCAGCTCTGTTGCTAAAACAGAAACCCAGGGAAGAATCAGCCAGGTGGCCGGAAGACACAGTGGTGCACTCAGAGGACTCCAGCCTTCTTGAGTTCTTGGTGGACTCCAAGGTCAAGAATAAACCAGGCAGGCTCTTTGGCACACAGAATTGCTGCAGGGCCTGAGCCTCCAAAGCTTTCTTCAAGAAGTGACTCCCCTCTCAATAAATCTCAGAGAGATGGGAGACCCTGGACTCCTACTCCCTGGGCAGGGGGAAGCAAAGGTTCCTCACAGTTCTATGAGCCTATGAGGCTCTGCCAGTGCCCACAGGGTGTCCCTCTGCTGTGGGTTGCTCCTGGTAATAGGAGATGAGAGGAAGAGGCGTAGCAGGGAAGAGGAACCCAGTGTTAAAAGCTGGGCGGCAAGGGTGGTCGTGTATCCCTGTAATCCCAGCACTGGGTAGATGGAAGCAGGAGAATCACAAGTTTGAGGCCAGCCTGGGCTATACAGTAAAATCCTGTCTCAAAATAAGTAAACCCCAAAAAGGTGGAGTAGCACCTATTCAATTTGTACAACTGGTAACTCAATCAATGAGTGCACAAGGCTTCCCACGTCAGATCTCAGTTGGCTGAAACCTCGAGTGTTACCAGCTTGCTCTTAAACTAGGAATATGGCTGCAACCATAGGCTTTCTATTTTTCTAAGTTTATCTTAAAATGTTTTAAAATGGAACTTTGGAAGTTCAATATAAACAGGAGAATGGGTGAAGCAGTAGAAAGAAAACAGAGGCTCCAGGGAGAAGGTGGGAGAAGGGTGGGGGAGTGGGAACACAAGAGGACGCAGGGTGTGACAGGCATCGATTTCCAGGAAAAACGGTCCCTTGAAGAAGTGCATTATGGGAGCAGGCCTCTGAAGTGGAATTCATGATCAAAAGCGCTCTGGTGAATTTGCTCCGTGTCTTACAATAAGCAGTGTGTCATTTTTAAAAATATTAAGCAGCAGAGGAAAAACTGGGTGACCGCTTTGTTCCTATCAGATCATTGCAAGTTTAAACAAGTGACAGCACCTGTCACCGCTGGTGACCTGGGGAGAGCAGTTTGCAACCTCTGCTATTTGCAACCAGTGCAATGTAAAATTGAAGTCCTTTAACGGAAACATCTGATAATGTGAGGAATATGCCTTTCAACCTAGAATCTAGCTCACTGAAATAACATCAAGACACAGGGATGTACAAATAAGATTACTGATTGCAGCCTGGTGTTCACAGTGTCAGCAGTACTGGAATGGTTGAATAAATCATGGTGTTCCCTACATGAAATATTATACAGCCACCATAAAGATGATTTAGAACTAGAACAGTTACCTTGGAAACTGTTTCATGAAGTGTTTTTGTATAAGAAAAATGATAAGGGGAGTAGTCTTAAAAAGCATTATCTCATTTTTCTAAAAGCAAGCAACAGCCTATAAATGTGTGTGTTTTATATACAACAGAAGCAGAGAAAACTTAGTGTATGCTAAGATTATGACACTGGTTATTTGATTGCAGGTGGCTGGCGTTGGGAAGCAATTCTCAAAGGAGAAAAATAGGCTTCATTAGGAAATCTTACAGCATTTGTGAAGAAATCCTCTTGTGAAACTGTGCATGTGTAGGTAGGCATAAGAAAGGGACAACACAGAGGGTGAGTGTGGTTTGCAACAATTATATATTTTATAAAGAACTAGAAGCCCAAACGATGGCCTAAACAATGTATGCACATGTGAATAAATGAATAAAAAAATTTTTAAAAAAAGAACTAGAGCGTTTGAGCTGGACATGGTGGTACATGCCTGTAGTCCCACCTTCTTGGGAGGCACAGATGAGAGGACCAAGGTTCAAGCCAAGCATGGTGGTGCATATTTGTAATCCCAGCTACGTGGGGGCACAGGTAGGAGGACTGAAGTCTGAGGCTGGCCCCAGACAAGAAGCAAAAGATCCTATCTGAAAAAGAACTAAAGCAAAAAGTTCTGGAGGAGTGGCTCAAGTGGTAGAGTTCTTGAGTAATAAGTGGAACACCCTGAGTTCAAACCCAGTATCGCCACAAAACTAAAAACAAAAAGAAAGGAAAAACTCAAACAAGTCTGAAGGTGCTCAACAAAAAATATATTATACAGCAACTCAGAAACATGTACAATTATTATGAGCCAATTAAAATGCAAAAGGGAGATTGTAATGATATGAGAAGGAAAGATGAAAGAGAAAAGGCAAGGGAGAAAGAGAAAGAAAAGGGGAGGAAGAGAACGGAAAGAAAGGAAGAAGGAAGGAAAGAGAGAAAGAGGATGAAAGAAGGGAGAGAGGGAGGAGGGAGGGAGGGAGGAAAGGATAAGAAAAAATGTTACCAAGTTCGCCCTGCTATGTCATGTGTAAAACCACACTGTGGAGTTGGGTCTGTGTCATGAGTCACCCCCAGGGTGCACCAAATCCTCTAGAGGCCTTGTCAAAGTGGACCCCAGGGCCCCACCCCCAGAATGTCTGATTCAGAAGACTTATAGTGGGGCTTGAGAACTTGCACTTTTAACAACCTGGTGATGAAGACACTGCTGTTCCCGGGGCCACACTTTGAGAAACATTTGTCAGTATCATCAGTCTGTAGCTTTGAAAACCAACAAGCAAAAGCTTTCAAATGAGAAGCTATGCTTATTTAGAAAAAAAGAAAGTACAGGAAAACTGTTTTTATCAGTTAACTCAGGGAGCTGGGAGGAGAGGTGGCCTGGGAATTGGGGCTGGTTTAGAATTAATGGGTGTCAGTGCTGGGGATTAATTTTGTCTACACATACAGTACATTACATGTATTTCAGTATATTGTTTCACTTTTGCAACTTAAAAACAATTAATACAGAAATTTTAGCTGGGGGTGATGGCTCATGTCTGTAATCTCAGCTACACAGGAGGCAGAGGATGGGAAGATGGAAGTTTGAAACCAGCCCAGGCCAAAAAAAAAAAAAAAGTTAGTGAGATCCTATCTCAAAAACAAACCAGGTGTGGTGGTGCATGCCTGTAATCTAAGCTATCAGGGAGGTGGAAGTAGTAGGATTGCTGTCCAAGGCTAGCTCTGAACAGCAGGAGACCCTACCTGAAAAATAAACTAAAAAAAGCAAAATGGGAGTGAGAGTGTGGCTCGAGTGGTAGTGAGCCTAGGCACAAGGCTCTAAGTTCAAATCCTGGTACCCCCAAAAAAAGAAAATTAGGTGGATGGATGGATTCATGAGTTGGTGAGTTGGATGGATGGAAGCAAGGACAGATGAAAGGATACAGGGAAGGAAGGAAGGAAGGCAGGGAGGGAGGGAGGGAGGGAGGGAGGCAGATAAAGGCCGAGGTCCCCACCTCCTTCAGCTGCACCCTGTCTCCTGCGGTGAGCACGCTCTGGCCGAGCTCCCCCACTTCCCTTTCGAAGAGCGCGCGGACCTCGCTGAACCCCGAGCTCACGGGCCCCATGAGCTCCTCCAGAATGGACGCCAGGAACGGCTGCACGCTCTCCCCGCAGCTCCTCTCCGCAGGCTGGGCCACCATGGCTGAGGAAGGAAAGAGCCCAAAACACATGTGATTTAGGGAAAAGTCTGATCGGGAAATACCGGAGCCAGGCCGGGGCTGGACGCGCCCAGGGAGCCATTTAGCAGAAGGCAAGTTCAAGTGCACAGCACGGGCCAGCACCGCAGGACGGAAAGTCACCCAACACTGTGAGAGCCGGAGCAGACAGGACCTGTCCCCTCCTCGGGCTTCCTAATGGCCTGGTCTCTATGAAGGTGCCATGCCTAACAGACAGAAGGGCTGGGGGCCAACCTAGCCACCCACCACCTGCACCGCAAATGCACAGTGCATCTTCTGAAATCATACTCCATTCAATTTTCATTCACTTCTCTAGCAGCTGATCAGTTGGCCTCCTCCCGCGCCCACCAAGACACTTTAAAAAAATTCCAGTCCAATCTCCACACAAGTGAACCAAATCCTTCCTTCTACCCCCACCCCCAATTAAAATAAAACAAAAACATGGTCTTCTGTCTGATGGTGACAGGCTGAGTGGCAAAAACGTCACTACAGCGAATCATGAAGATGGATTTTAAAATGCCGCCCTAATTCCACTCCCCGGAGACAGACACTAATGTTGGATTTAGAGGGGGAAAAGGAGGGTACAGATCCTGACTCAGGGAGGATCTGTCCCCTCTGGGTGGGGCAGGGGGTGATCATAACCAGCCAGGTTTGGAAGCAGCAGTGCAGTGGGAGAGGCTGGGTTCACTCCACAACCTGGGAAGAACAACTTTGTCACAGGACCCTAGGACAGAAAAGGGAAGTGGATGTCCAACCCCTCCACGCTACAGATGGGAAAGAAAGAGGACTGGAGACCTTAGAGAGTCAACTCTAATTTGCAATCTGTAAAGTTCCTATCAGCAAATACTTGCTCATGGTGAGGAGATGGCCACAGTCTTTTTTTGTGATGCTGACGTTTGAACTCAGGGCCTTGAGCCTGAGCACTCTAAGCACTTGAGAGTTTTTTGTTTGTTGTTCTTTTGTTTGTTTTTTGTTTTTCAGAGAGGGTCTTGCTCTAACTTTGCCTGGGAATCCTCCTCCTCTGCCTCCCCCGAGTCGCTGGGATTACAGATGTAAACCACCACGCCTAGCCTGAATGGCTACATTCTCATTTCAGTTTGCAGAAGAAATATGTCAGAGTCACAGAGGATCAGATTTTCACCTCTGATTCTGAGAATCTAAGATGATCGATCCTATAAATATTTGGACTGTAAAACATTAACCAGGTCATAGAATTACTAGGGGGGGAAGCCCTTTTAACGGTATGACTTAAATAAGAAACAATCTGTGACTTATAATAAAGACTTGTTTGATACCAAAATGCGAAATTTTTTGCCAGGAGAGTACCTTAATTGTCAGTTAATTAAGTTTGTGAGAGAAACTATTTGAAGGCATCTGAAATTTCAGAATAATACTGAGTACTGGTGACATACAGAAATGACTTAGCAGGACGGGCTGACGCACCTGCAGAGTGGGGCCGAGCTCAGTAAAGGAGGGCCTGGCAGGGAAGGATGTGTTGCCCTCTGTCTGCTGTCTCATCTCTGATTGACTCCAGCCCTCTCTCTGTACCTCCATCTGGTGTCCTCTTACCTGGGCCTTCCTTCCTCCACTTCTTAAAAGCATCCTACTTAGGTCCTGAAGGCCCAGCCCAAATGTCACCCAGTGGGGACAGCCCAATGCCCAGGAACCACCACCTGGCTTCCTGACCTGTGTCTGCAGGTGTTTCCTTAGGGGCTGAACATGTTTCACGTACCACACGGGTGTGCTCGGCTATCTTTCAGGCAGGCAGAGATACTGTTGTGATGAATGGGCTGTGTGACATTGATTGATAAGCTCCCCTGGGGTTATGGCAGCTGTCTGCACCAGTAAGGCAACTGATGACATCTGAAAGGCTGGGGTCAGAGGGGCAGGGCTCAGAGTCTGGTGGTTTTGATCTTGGGCAAGTTCCTTCCTCCCTACCTCAGTTTTCTTATCTGTAAAATGGAGATCATGAGAGCAATGAGAGTAATTACTTCTTCGGGGCTATGGTGTGGATCAAATAAGTTTACTGTTTTCAAGATGCTTAGATGGAGGCGGGACTCTGGAAGCAGTCACGAACTATTAGCTCTGGTTCTATCTGTTGATACTGTCATTCTTTCTACTTGCCTAACACTCACACAGAACCATCACTAGGGGGCGCCCACAGTTATCTGAAGTTGAAATGGGATGGTCTTTTTGTTCCTGCCTCTCTTAGAGCTTTATCATGTTTTCTTTCTGCTTGTAAAAATCTTGTTGTCTTTGTATCATCACAGCTCCTCTACTTCAGCAGAAGTGGAACAAATACTTATGGAATGACTTAAATAATGGCAGAGCAGAGCTAACACTGAGTGGCTCCATTCCAGACAGCCACATGGGAGAAAATGGAAAGTCCACTACTCAATACTCCCAAAGTTTTGTCAAAATCCAAAGCCCTTTCTCAGTCAGCTTGGAGCGCCTTTCTTTACTTTAAGGATGGAGAAGCAGAGGCCTGGTTAAAATGTGGGTCTGACATTTCACTTTGAAATGACTAGGTCACTACTTCCTGACAAGGTTTCTTTTGGTAAACAACTGAGCCCAGGCAAGAATCTTCTTCTATCCTATAACGATCCAAGGGAGTCACAGTATTTAGGCAAGAGAATGGTTTAATTCCAGCCATGCACCAGAGAGCAGGCTGTTGGCCTAGGTGTTGGTGCTGGTGGTTTTAAGTTGTATGGAGAACTTGGACACATTGTCAAGTCTAGGTGGGTTGCGCTCATGGAGTGATAAGACCTGGGTAGCACACAGACACCACACGCTGGGCACTCTGCAGTGAGCTGGGCTGTCATCTGAAGAGGGCCTGAGTTCCAGAAGATGATCCATGCAGTCACTACCCTGCTAGACAGCCAGCTGCAGGAGCACAGGAACGGGTTGCACTGAAGCCCCAGCGCCCTACCCAGAAGTACACAGTAGTTGGTGAGTGAGTGAGTGATAATCAGTTCTGGCTGTCTGAGAAGACTTTTTTGATGAATGCTATAGATGAGCCTGTGTGCTCACCTGGAACAGCAATGGGTGTGCTGTGCTCACTGGATATTCCAGGGGCCCCAGAAGGAATGGAAAGCCAAAGGGTGGATCTAAGGCCAGCCAAGGCCTCCTGTGTGGGAATAGGCAAACTTTTTTCTGTTAAGGGCCATATAGTAAATATTTGTGACTTTTCAGTCCAAAAGTCTCAGTTCCAGCTATTCAGTTCTGATGCTGTAACACAAAAGCTTCTATAGATAGCATGTAGATGAACAAGCATGTTCCAGTAAAACAGTATTTAGAAAATCAGGTGGTGGGCTAGATTTGGACTGTGAGCTACAGGTTGCCAGGCCTATGCTTGTGATCCCTCCTGATTTCAGACAGATACACGGACAGTCCACATGACTGCCTTGTGTTGGAGTTGGGGCTAGAAACCCAGATACATTGCTCTAAACCAAATTGGTAGGTTTTCCGGTCAAAGGGAAATCCACTCTGCATTGATTCAACTATTTCTTGAGAGTCAGGCATGGAAGTAGGCTCTGAGTATACTTGAGTAAACCAAGGAAACATGGCTGCACTCTTTGAGAGCTTACAGCAGAAAGGGGGAAGGCAGAAGCCATTGTAATTCAGTGTAAGATATCCTACAGCTGTCTGGGCATGGTGGCACACGCCTGTAATCTCAGCACTCAAGAGATGAAGGCAGTAAGATCATGAGTTCAGGTTACCCTAGGCTACATTATGAGACCCTATCTCAAAAAAAACAAAAAGGCCTACAGGAGGGGCCAGAATACACCAGCACCACTGTGAGGCAGGAAGCAAGGTTTCCTCTACTGGTGTCCATGAATCTTCCATGGAAAGGTCTAGGCTCTTAACAGTCCCTATGACACAATCATATTACAAATCCTATCACCTCCTCCCAATTTCATCAGCTCAGTTCTCTAAAGCCATGCACAGCCATCCCTGGTAGTTTTGAGCAACTGGTTCTAAGACCCAGCCACCCTCCTTGTCTCCCCCACCTCTGAGGATGCTAGAGTCCAAGGAAACCCAAGTGCCTGATAAAAAATAATGTATTATTTCCATAAAGACCTATCCCAACCATATACTTCATACTTCATGTCACCTGTAGGTCACACGTAACGCTTAATATAATGCAAATCCTATGTCGACAATCAAGCTGTATTACTAAGGGAAGAATGACAAGAAAAGAAGTCTGTGCATGATTAATGTAATTTTTTCCCAATAGTTTCAATCTGTGCTTGACTGAGTTCACAGATCCGGGACCCACACACACGGAGGGTCTCCCATATTCTAACGGTGCATGGATCACTAAGTGGACGGCTTCTTTAACTATCAGGAGCAGGCGATATCGCCACCCACCTTTGATCTTTCCAGTTAGAAAGTTCTTGGAGTTCACAACCTGATCCATGTCTGAGCGGATGGTTCCTTCCAGGCCCTTGGTCAGAGCTCTGCATTCCTCCTTCATGGCACTTAATCCCTCCGAAACTTGGTGTTGAACCAGGGTGTAGGCCTCCTCCAGGAGCTGCAACAGGGAACAGCACATGAATCAGACTTGTGTACAAGGGTCTGAGGGAGTCAGGAGCAGGAGGAAGCAAGTCCACCACATAAACAGAACTGCACATGCATTTGAATTTTTCTCTTTCAAGTCGTTTGGATCAGCTCTTATATAAGTGAGATTGAGCAGTTTTTGAGGTAGGCACTTCTCTAGCCAGGGAAGGAATTATTGAAAAACAACAACCAATGCCCTAAAAAGAAGAGGGAAGGGAGCATATTCATTTTGAACAGCATAGTTGTAAAGAGACATCATCACTTACGCCAAACCAGGCCCTCTTTCTGTCATTCTTCTTCCCCTTCATTTTTGGCAGCAGATCTGTCTGAAGAGTTGGCAGAAGCTCCTCCATCACCAGGTTACTCAGGATCTATGCAGTGGAAGAGAACCCACACAGTCAGTCAGCTGGCGATGGTCAAGCAGTGATGACTGTTTCTATCCCAGGCTATGTGAGGGGTAGGGGTAGGGGTAGGGGTAGGGGTAGGGGTATGGTGGTGGGTGGGTGGGTGTGGGTGTGGGTGTGGGTGTGTGTGTGTGTGTGTGTGTGTGTGTGTGTGTGTGTGTGTTGCCACAGAAATCTCAACTGAGGCAATCAGAGAGAGTAAACATTCCTACACATTCACACAGAACAGAAACATCTGCTGTTTTCCCAATGGAAAGAACAAATTCCTCAAGTTCAGACTTCTCACATTCAAACTAGAAGGACCTAGAGCACTTAGGATGAGAGGAGAGATTTCAATTAGGCATCCTTCAGAAAAACTGGGAAGAACCTTATTTTTGACAAAGGCGCTAAAACCATACGATGGAGAAAAGACAGCCTTTTCAACAAATGTTGTTGGGAAAAGTGGTTACCCATCTGCAAAAAACTGAAACTAGATCCATGTTTATCACCCTGTACTAATATCAACTCAAAATGGATCAAGAACCTAAATATCAGACCTGAAACTCTGAAGTTACTACAGAAAGGAGCAGGAAACACTCTGGAACTAATAGGTATAGGCAAAGACTTCCTCAATGGAACCCCAGCAGCCCAGCAACTAAGAGAAAGGATGGACTTCATAAAACTAAAAAGCTTCTGCACAACAAAAGAAATGGTCTCTAAGCTAAAGAGACCACCCACAAAGTGGGAAGAAATATTTGCCAGCTATACATTAGACAAAGGACTGATAACCAGAATATACAGGGAACTTAAAAAACTAAACTCTCCCAAAATCAATGAACCAATAAAGAAATGAGCAACTGAACTAACAGAACTTTCTCAAAAGAAGAAATTCAAATGGCCAAAAAACACATGGAAAAAATGCTCACCATCTCTAACCATAAAGGAAATGCAAATCAAAACCACACTAAGATTCCACTTCACCCCTGTTAGAACAGCCATCATCAGCAACACCACCAAAAACAGGTGTTGGCGAGGATGTAGGGAAAAGGAACTCATAAACTGCTGGTGGGAATGCAAGCTGGTACAACCACTCCGGAAAAAAATTTGGAGGATTCTTCAAAATCTAAACATAGATCTACCATATGATCCAGCAATACCACTCCTGGGGATATACCCAAAGGAATGTGATACAGATTACTCCAGAGGCACCTGCACACCCATGTTTATTGCGGCACTATTCACAATAGCCAAGTTATGGAGACAGCCAAGATGCCCCATCACTGATGAATGGATTAAGAAAATGGATTCAGCCATGAAGAAGAATGAAATCTTATCATTTGCAGGTAAATGGATGGAACTGGAGAACATCATTCTGAGTGAGGTCAGCCAGACTCAGAAGACCAAAAATCGTATGTTCTCCCTCATGTGTGGACTTTAGATCTAGGGCAAATACAGCAATGTGTTGGACTTGGGTCACATGAAGGGGAGAGCACATACGGGAGGTATGGGGATAGGTAGGAAACCCAAAACATGAAAGTGTTTGATGTCCCCACTCCACAGGAACTAATACAGAAACCTTAAAGTGACAGAGGTCAATATGGGAAGGGCATCAGGAACTAGTGAAAAGGTCAGGTAGAGATGAACCACCTTGGGTTGTAACACATTTGTGCGTGGAAGCAATACTAGGAATCTCTCTGTATAGCTATCCTTATCTCAACTAGCAGAAATGCTTTGTCTTTCTTCTTATTGCTTGTTTTCTCTTCAACAAAATTAGTGATAAGGGCAGAACAGGTTCTGCCTAGAAGCAAGGGGGGTGGAGGGAGAGGGTGGGGAAAGAGGGAGAGGGCAGGGGGTAGCGGGGGAGAAATGGCCCAAACAATGTATGCACATGTGAATAAATGAATAAAAGAAAAATTGGGAAGAGAGGGCTGGTGGAGTGGCTCAAGTGGGAAAGCACCTGCCTGGCAAATGTGAGGCTATGAGTTCAAATCCCAGTACTGCCCCCCAAAAAATGGGAAGAAAGTTGTGCTTAGTCCTGTGGCTGAAGCCAGTCTGCATCCCCTGGGATTATCATTCTTCCTCACGCTCCCTCATGACCTAAGCGTCCTTATTCTCTTTCCCCTAGTGTCTCCTAAATACCATCTCCAGCCTCCGATGTTTACAAAGGGAAAAGAGGAACAGTGTGGAGAAGAGGTGGGAGCAACAACCAGACCAATCAAAACCCATGCTTACATCCTTGTCTGTGTCCACTTTGCCCAAGAAAATGGCTGAAGGGGATGCCGAAGGAGTTCAAGTCAAAGTGAGAGGAAAGCCCCAGAGGAGCTCTGCAAAGTTGTTGGCTAAACTGCTCCCCCAAAAGTCAGCCTAAAAAAGGGCTGTGCAAAGAAGGGAGAGAATGCACCCAAAGGGACAAAAGAGAAGCTGATGCTGACCAGGATGGAAATAACCTGCAGAAAATGGAGATGCCAAAACAGAGCAGGCATGGGAAGTGGAAGGTGATGGAGATGCCAAGTGAAGTGTGTGCATTTTTGACGACTGTGTTTTTGGTGAAGGTAGAGTTTGAAATATTATTTCTAAGAAAGTTTTATAAAAATTCAGAATTTTGCCAGATGCGGTAGCATACACCTGTAATGTCAGCACTTGGGAGGCTGAAGGCAGGAGATCATGAGCATCAGGCCAGCCTGGACTATGCATAGTGAGACTGTCTCACAAAACAAAACAAAAATGCAGAATTCTCCTGTACTTGTTTCTAAGCCATGTAGTTGGCACACAGACTATTTGCGGGAAAGGGGCTTATGTCACTAACAAAAGTTCCCAGAGCTAGATTGGTGTAGGGGAAACATTTTCCCCTTGTTTCCAGGACCTTCCTCTTGGTTTCTAAGGATTCCCTGACAATGACTGACACACCACCACCTAGGCAGTGCATAAGCGAAACTTCATTTTTATGTTTTTGTCTCCCTCTTGTCTAGCCTTCAGTGTAGACCTAGTCACCTGTTGGAACCTAATCAAACTGGTCACCAACATGTCAAGCCATCTGGGCCTTCTAGTGATGCTGTTAAGATGACATTCCTCAAAAGAGCAACGTTTTTTTTTTGGAGTATGTGAATCTTTAGGTAGATAATTCTGCCATTTTCCTGAAAGCCAGAGTTGGCTCATGAAAAACTTTTTAGCAACACACTAAATGCAAAATGTCAACCTTTTCTCTAAACGTTCCCTGTTCAGACCATCAAATGAAGTCATTATTAGGTTTTATGGTGGCTTTCTGATTTTGGCAGTCCATTGAAGAAGGGAGCATGAAAATTGTTTGATACTGTGAATTGCCTGTATCCTGAAATACCATGATTGCTTATGAAAAGTATCTTTAACATAGCTTTTTAAAAAGGAAAGAAAAATAAGCATAAATACTTTGACAAAATTGGATATTTGTGACCTAAGCAGAATTCAGGAGAGGAGAGCTAAAGTTTTTAGGGTGTTTTTTCAAATCATTCCCAAATTTCTCCTAAAATTTTGCTTGGATCAGTAAAAATTTTTCTTTGGATCTGAGCAGAATTCGACATATCCATTCATCACCACACTCCATAGGCACTGGTCCTTCTTTCTTTGCAATGCCCCCTGACTTGGGAGCAGCTTTGCCACGAAAATTTACTTTTACCATGAATCTCTTGGGGCTCACAGCTCAGCTTTCAACAGCAGGTTGTAGGTTAAGATTTACAAAAGGGCAAGAGCAGTGTTGAGAATTGAAGCATCCATAGAGACATCTGTTCTATGTCGTTGAAATAATATTTATTCAAAATAATTGACCTCCTCATTCTCACTTCTAATAAAAATCCCAATTATGCTCTGGGAATTAGGGAAGATTTTCTCTGAGGTCACTGGTCAGCCTCATGCTGGTGAAACCCTCATAAGAGGTCACTAGCCTTTCCTTTCACCAGGCTCTGGCTGCACTGCACAGGAGCACACCCAGGGTGGAGATGGACAAGTTGTCCAGGCTAACTGGGCCTGTGGGTTAATGGGAGGGAAGCCGTTCAGGTCAGGGCAGCAGGCGGGGCTCCTGTCACCTGCAATGTGGGCCTGCCTTGTGTGATGAAGATGGCAGGTAATAGGGGCAGATTTCCGCCAGTTCTGATAATTCATTGGCGTAATTAACCATTTTCTGGGGGCAGTCAGGAGTTGAACCACCACATTCTGAGGAGTTTAAGAGGAACTTGACATGTGCAAACTCCACAGAAATCATCAAGTCAGCAATTAGATTCTGTAGGTAATTAATACTCCCTGGCCACATCCTGCTCAATGGGGTAAAGTCCCTGTTTGGAACACATCTGCCCAAGAGTCATCCAGTGTGACATGTGACATGAGGCAAGGGAGCTAAGAGAGACAGAGACTGAAGACAGAACTCATAATCAATGGGAAAAATTATCTTGGTTAAGAAGCATTAACCTCACGAATCATAATAATTATCCTGATTCATTCTTTTGCACAGATTGGTTTGAATTTGAGCATTCAGTGTGAAAGGTCAAAAAAAAAATAAAAAAGAATGTTCCATTTGGGTGGGCTTACAGTTTTCTTTTAGTCTTTCCCACACAATGTTCCAAGAAATTTGGTTCTATTTTACAATTTAGGGAGTTGGAAAGGAAGTATGGGGGAAAGGGGAAAGGGAAAGTGGGTGTCCCCAGGGTAAGTGATGGAGGTGGGGCTTAGGAATAGCCCCAGGAAAGAAAGAGCCTGCTTTGATGGAGGCCAACGGTGTCTCATTCCAACACCACCCTCCTCCTTCTCTAACCTTAGCCCACTCCCACCTTGTCCTCACGCTGACTCTCTCCTGCCCAGCACCCACTCTGGAGTTTGCTACCCTGGCCAGCTCTCCATAAGCAAGTCCTAAGCCCTTGGGCTTTTTAAGGGGAAGTAGTTAATCTAATAAATAAATCACTAATGAAGGACTTCTTTAATTTCCTCCCCTTAAAACAGGATCCATTGAGTTTTACCATAAGGAACCTAAAAATACAGTTTTGTTAAAAACAAAAAACAAAAAACAAAAAAACGAGGGGGGAAGGTATTGGGCCAGCCTAATGGGATGTGGTGAGTTCAAACCTTTGCCACACATATAAACAAGCAAACATGTTATTAGACTGATCAAAACAAACCAACCCAGGCTCACTCACTGCAGGCCACACCCCAGTACTGCCTTCCAAACCTGAAGCTGTGAAGCAGAGGTGAGGCCCAAAAAAACACACCTCCCCCCTTCTAGCCCCAGGCCCCTTGTGTCACTGAAGAGCTGTGGGTGAGGCCATTTAAAGAGAGCCAACACTCAAGATCCTTCCACAGAAGACAACTCCAGAACATATGTCTCCCTCCCATCTGGCTGATGGAGAGGCAAATAAGAAATCTAACCAAATAACTGCAGCTACTTTACATTTTACAAACTGCTTCCCTCCCGATCTCACTTGATACAGTCATATTGACAAGTAGAAAATATGTGGATGTTTTTACTATTATACAATATTTTCACCTTAACAGTCTGTCAGGCAAGCTACTCTGAGATACTTCTTTGCCTGGACCTAAAATAACTGTCACCAGAAGGGCCTGCCATACTCACTGTATGAGTCATGACTATGAAGAGAACTGTAACATGGCCGAAGACCTAGTGGATATGGGCCACTAGCCTAAAGATTCTAAGAGTGTTATGAGTAAGTTCACAGCAGATAAGACAGGAAAAATGCAAACAAACTCAGGGCTTTAAATGAAAGACATCACAGTCTCAAACTCAGTTGTGCTATGTCGTGTTCTTTAATTATTTGACAGCTTCTTTGGGCCCTGACCTCTTTTTTAAAGCAATTTTTTTGGTGGTACTGGGTTTTGAACTCAGGGCCTCATGCTTGCTAGGCAGGGCCTCTACCACTTGAGAGTCACTCCACCAGCTCTTTTTTGTGTTGGCTATTTTCAAAAGATAGGGTCTCAGGAACTATTTGCCCAGGGCTGGCTTTGAACCTCGATCCTCCTGATCTCTGCCTCCTGGGTAATTAGGATTACAGACCTGAGCCACCAGCTCCTGACCTCCTTTTGACAACCGCTTCATGGGTCCCCTCCTTGTATTAGAGGGTATGGGTATACTGAGTCCCTAACCTTATGAGACCCAGCACAGGAAAGTTCTGGAAGCTATTTTTTTCTACCAGCTTCTTCTGGAAAACTAACTCTGAGATGCCCTTCTGGAGCTCACACTTTTAGGAGTCTGTGGTCTTTCCAAACACACTTAAAGTCTTGGGTCACTCAGTAGCTTTTGCTATAGCTTTTACTGCTCTCTTGTCTGCTTTTTTGTTTTGTTTTGTTTTCTCATTTATAGCATTATTAAACTGCAAAGACTGTTTCGCACTGATGCCTATGATACCCACATACGTTCATACCCACATAAAGCCACATACACACATACACATACGGGGCTATCTTCTAGATGCTTTCTATGTGTGTCTGGCCTCAACACAATGGTGAGGATGAGTCAGTCAGGGCTCTTGCACCTTAGAGCACTTAGCACTGTCAGTCTAAGGGAAAAAGTAGAAAGTAGACAAAAGCAAGCACAAAAAACCAACACCCAGAAAGGACTTAAGTGACTGTTTTCAAGAGCACCACAAGAGAATGTGAGTTGACCTAAGATTCCAAGTGAAAGGAAAATATTGAGTGGCTTAGCTGAATCCAGGAGACAAATCAACATGCAACTTTATCTATCCTCATGATTGCTACTGATCTTTGCCCTGGACCAGGAGGTAGAAGAGATCATGTCCGTTGCCACTTGTGCACTTAACATGTGACCCCAAAAGTATCAGATCCACAGGGCAGGAGCCATTCTGTCTTGTCCATCTCTGGATCACCAGCACCCAACACAGTGCCTGGTACATGGAAGGTGATCAATAAACAGTTACTGAGAAAATAAAGCCAGGCAAGTGGCTTGATTGTAATGTCAAAAAAACCTTGGTTTTCTCATTTACAAAATGGAAATCACAATAACTGCCCACTCCACCTTAAGACCATTAAGACAACAGAACTGGTATTTGAACATTATGGGGTATCACACAGAGGCATTTTAAAACTGGGCTATCTATTGCATATTAAATACATTGGCTATTTAACATGCCAATCCGGTATCAAATGCTTTAATCTCCTCTTCTTATATCTTGGGTTTTCTTTTGGGTTAAGTACTGTCAGTCTTTAGCCCTCTCAAATTTATAAATGGATGTGCTTCCCCGAAATATCAGAAACCAAGAATTGATTAAAGCTACGAAATAAGTCTCAGGTTGGAAAAGAAACGAGTTTAGAGTCTATGGAAAGATGAAGAGAGAAGATTCTGGATCAATGACAAAGCAATGAGAGCGACTCCACAGTCATGAGAAAAGTTTTAGCTTTGGATGCTTAATGGCCACACAGAGGCCACAACCCCATCTAACATCCTCCAAGTATTGGTTCCCTCATAACAAATTTCAGCAGCCCCCAAAAGACGCATTCTGGGAGATGTGCCAAAAGCAAAAAAGGAACAGCATTCTTAAACATTATGTTCTTAAAATGGAATAATGCCCACAAGCGTGCAGCCTCGTCCTGGCTAAAGCAGCCATATGACTGGTGTCATTGTGGCGTCTGGGGTCCTTTGGTGATTATAACACTGTTCCTGAGACCAAGCCCTCTGAGGCTCTTAGCTCACAAGCATCACTTAACCAGGATCATGGGAAATTATAATGGACCATAGTGGATAGAAAGCAGGAAAGGTAAATGAAACATATAGATAACTGCCTAATGCTTTCTTTGTTTCTGTTCATTACTTCATTGATATATCATGCAGTGGATGAGATAGCAGTGTGGCAAACACTTCAACAACACTTCACTTAATTCTCGTGACTTTGCAAGTCACATTATTACAATCCAATTGTAATAATCATTACAATCCAAGTCTGATTATCCCACACTGCACTGTATCACACTACTCATGTCTGCTTCTAGTTTGGAAGCATGAGGTCATTTGAAAGAGTAAGTCTTTTCTTTATTTTTATGGTGGGACTGGGGCTTGAACTCAGGGCATCATGCTTGCAAAACAGGCACTCTACCATTTGAGTAGACCTCAAGTGGACCTGCAATCCATTTTGCCCTAGTTATTTTGGAGATGGGGTCTTTCCAAATATTTGCCCAAGCTGGCCTCAAACCTAGATCCTCCTGATCTTAGCCTCTCAAGTACCTAGGATTATAGGTGTGAGCCACTGGTGCCCAGCATAAATCTTTTTATAGAGGTCAATGAGAACAGCTCTGCCCACTGTAGTTAATAGTGTTTTGGCCTGCTCAACCTGATGCCCACTCTGGTCATCTTTGTACTGGGGCCCCTAGCTTGCTCACCAGCTGCTCCTAGACAATGAGGTGCCAATGGTTTTGGAACATGTTTCATTCTTACAATTTCTGTTGGATCTTTCATTAAAATGACTCCAACCTCCTTCCACACAGACACACAGACAGGACCCAACATTCCGAGTTCTATCTCACCTGGGTCTCATCCCCAGTGATCATCTCCCATGAGCCGTAGTGACCCTTCTCCTGTCGAAAGAATTGCACAGCTTCTAAAAAGGCTTGGGCTTCAAATGTCGTCTGCTTCATGTAATCTAAAGAAAAGAGGAAGGGGCGTTTAGCAAAGTGAAATGCTCTGTTTTACATTTTTCTGTGGTTCTCCACGTGTGATGTTCAGAGAAAAAGCACCGTCTATTATGAAGCATGAAATTATCAGACACAGACAAAGCTAGGCCAGTTACTCAACCCAGAGTTCACTTGCAAGCGAACATCACATTACTTCCTCACCACCTGAGCGGATTAATTCCATCAGTTACTGAGCATAGTGGTGAGTCCCAGAAGCAGGATCATCTCAGTTGCTGTCTCTTTCAAAGGCTTCCCATATTCCCCAAGTTACTCAGTGACTTCATGCCACCAACCATAACCACTCACCCCTACAGATGGGTCATTCGTCAACATGGATATGACTCCAGAACATCCCCTCCCAGTTTTCCAAGCAAAACTCCAATTTCTTTGTAGCCTGATAACAGCTTTCTGTCAAAAAGGACATCTACATAATATGCTAATTTATGCAAATGAGATTAATTGCTCACATTTATATAGTAGGGTACTGTTCCTCTAAGCCCATCACCTATTTCATTGAGATCTGACAAAAATAACCCCAAGGAAAATGTTATTTTCCTGTTGTGTTGCAGATGAGAAGACCAATCAAAGTACAGAAAGATGACTTTATTGCCCAAGATCATAGAGCTGGTGAATGGCAGAGCTAGGGTGAGACCCCAAGCAGTCTAACTTGGAGTCTACCTCTAATCATTAAATGCATCTCCTCACAAACTAGCTTTATAGGTTTTATCCTTTTAAATGGTACTGTATCTCAGAAATAATAGTCTACCTCAAAGGTATGGAGATCCAATGGTGGGATTTTAAATAGGAAAGAAAGATCTGGGGCTGAATGGCCTTCCCAGAATTCCACCAATTAATTACACCATGCATGCAGGTGTCTTCCTTCCCATCACAGAATACTAGCTCTTGGAGGACACAGTGGTAAACAGTTGTAGACTTCTAGTGAGGAAATGAAGTTTAAAAATAATCCAACTGGGAGCTGGGAGTGCAGCTCAGTGGTAGAGTGTGTGCTTAGCACGCATGAGGCCCTGGATCCCAACGCCAACACAAAGGAGGGAGGGAAAGAGACAAGGGAGGAAAGGAGGGAGTGAGGAAGGAAGGAAGGAAGGGAGGGAGGGAGGGGGGAGAAAAAGAGGGAGGGAGGGAAGGATGGGGAGGGAGGGAGAAGGAAGAAAGGAGGGAAGAAGAAGGGAGGAAACCAGACAATCAATAAAGAAATGAAATCTTAGAAAGGGGTAATGAAGAGAGTGAAAAGGAGCAGGTTTTCTGTCCCTCTCACCACAAGGGCACAAAGTTCTCTTGCCGGTAACAAATAATCTCATTTCTATCAGGACAACATGAGGTTGATCAGTTGAAGGTGGCTGTGTCAGCAGGGGACCGTCATAGCTTTCAACAGTGGGATTACTCAGTCAAGGACTAAAAGGTTGACATGTGACCTAAGCAGAGCTAAAACAGGATCAGTCTGCTCTGCCCCTGTAAGGTGACAATGAATAGACTGTGGATCATCCTTTTGAGATTGGCTTACTAGATCATAAGCCCCAGAAACTTGAAAAAGAGAAAATACAATTCTGGGCACAACATCTGTAAGAGTTCAAGCAAAATTCTTCACAGTGGGGATACCAGAAGCCCAGAAGCAACACCTGTAAAACTCTGTAACAGGATCTAACATTTCTAATAGTAACACAGAAATCTGGTCAAAAATCACAAAAAGGGCACAGCCCAAGAATCAAGTTTTCAGATTGAAGCGTTTTTCTTTTCGTTATTTTTTTCTGGCTTGGCAGTGGAGTTAGTGTTGAACCTCAGACATTGGAAGAATGAAATGTAAGGTTTTACTATGAAGTTGACACCACCATTGCTAGTGCTATTCCCACAAGGGGACTGTAATATGGGGCTCACTAAACTGGGAGGAACGCTACCAGATGAGATGGAAACTGTAATTACTGCATTGAGACTCAAGACTGACTCACGCACTCTGATCTTTAACAGCTGTATTCATTTTCAACCCAAGGAAACAAAGAGATGGAAGAAAATGCAGTACTGTATTTGGATGGAGTGCATATGGCCAGATCTGCTAGCTAAGGAATGGATTTTTAAATTCTTCATGTCCTCACAAGAAACAACGTTTCTTAGTTCTGCTGACTTCAGTAAATGGAGGAGGTATTTTAAATCCCGTCCATTATTTTATTATCCCGTCCATGTTTATATCAAAGGAAACTGACACAAATGCTGATGTTTGCATTGCCAAAGATCTCTGGAAAAAAAATAACTGAAAAGATCGGATGTGGAGACAATGGTGTGAGTGTCAGGGAGAAGTCAAGGAATGGAAGGAGGGATAGAATGTAGTAGTGGTGGAAGTGAAGTATTTTAACACAGGCAAAGAACAGTATTAGGAATCAAACAGACCACCAAAGAAATTATAGTCACTGATAGCTGGGCAAATAGTGCATGCCTGTAATTTCAGCTACTTGGGATGTGGAAATTGGGAGGATTGATGCTCAAGGCCAGTCTAAGCAAAAAGTTAGTGAGAGTCCATCTCACCAAACCAACCAGATGTGGTGGCACAGTGTGTAATCCCAGCTATGTAGGAGAGGAACTTGGTTGGGGACCAGTCTGGGCAAAAAGCCTGAGACCTATCTGAAAAATAACTAAAGCAAAAAGGGCTTGGAGGTGTGGCTCAAGTGGTAGAGCACCTGCCTACTAAGTACAAACTTCTGAGTTCAAACTCCAGTACATTCCCTCCAACAAAGAAACGAAATTATAGTCATTGAGTGATGAATCAGAGAATGAGAGCTATTTACCACTAAGACAAACTAGAGCTGGGCACCAGTGACTCCCGCCTGTAATCCTAGCTACTCAGGAAGCAGAGATCAGGAAGATAAAGGTTCAAAGCCAGCCCAGGCAAATAATCTGCAAGACCCTATCTCGAAAAAACCCATCACAAAAAAGGGATGGCAGAGTGGCTCAAGGTGTAGGCCCTGAGTTCAAATTCCAGTAATGGGAAAAAAAAAAAAGAGACAGAGAAAGGCAAACTAGATTTTAACTACTCCCTTTCCAGAGTGAAAGAGCTAATTTACTGATTTATCATTAGATTTTCAGCTTATAAACTGATTAAATAAACTGAATTACACAAAACTTTTTGAACTGATCTGCCATAGGTTAGGCTGCTTTATGAGTACTTGTTCTTATGATTATAAACAAAACTCGATAGCAATTGCCAGCCCAATAAGCTCATAAACTCTGAAGACAGAACCACGATCCTGCAAAGGTAACACGAGCTCCATCTCTCTTCAGCTGTGTGCAAAGGCAATGCCAAACTCAGAACGCACAGGTGTTAGAGAGAAACCAGATCACCCGTCATTTGATCAACTTCCTGCTACAGAATTCCAGGGAACAAATCCCTGGCTCACGACCGTCCTCCCTGCTGCCAAGGAGCAAGATGAGAGTTTTTGGTTCAGTGGCGCCCAGAATCCATAGTGGTTTCTAGTCTTGAGGCCATCACTTTGCAAGCAGACTTGCTTGCAAAGATGTCACCCCAAATTCTCCTTTCCCGGCACACTGTCATGACAAGGTTGCTCATGGAGACAGGGGCACTGATGCCTCCTTCAACTCAGCTCCCTCATTTTATGGTTGAGGGAACTGGAGCAAAAAGTAGTTAATGTCTTAGCTGAAGGTCACACAGCTGGTCTGTGTCAGAGTCAAGAGTTGAAAAAGTGGCTCTGGCCTGTCATAAGCAACCTTGACATTCAGGCTTACTGAAGGATGAGAGTTGGAAATCCTCTTAAAGGTTACCTACCCACGCTCTGGCCCCATGTTGGGATCCTTCAGAATCCCAGACGAACACTCCCATAGCTTTGGCTTGAATATTTGTAGTGACAGAAAGCTCAGAATTTCATGAAATAGTTCTTTCCATCTCAGAACCACTCTGATTATTTGAAAATATTTCTTGCTATGGAGCCAAAATCTGTTTCCATGAACTAATTCATCTCATTTCTCCTTTTCTGAACAAAATGGACCAGTTTTCTCTTCTTCCATCTGGTAACTCTACAAAGCAGTAATCAGGCAAAGATACTTACTTTCCTTTAACCTTCCCTTAAACAACATACTTATCTCTTAAATGTGGCATCTCTTTCCTTCCCCCCTTAGTCATCCTTTCTAATTTATCAACATCTCTTTAAAGTTGGCCCCTAGAACTGACTCTAATACCAAGGGTATGGTCTGACTAGCATAAATGATGTAAAGTAGATTACTTTCCTATTTCTGATTTCAAATCTTTTTTTCTCTCTCTCTCTCACTCTTTTTTTAATACAATTGCATCATCCTGTGTTCTCATACCTCTCTTGGACTCCAATAAAATCCCTAAATCTTCATATAAAACTCTTGCCAATCTAAGGCTCTCCTAACTTGTACTTTTGACATTGAAGGACAGATTTTAATGTTATCTCTATTAAATTACAGCTTGCTGTGGTCTGGCCAGTGAGACAATGCTTGCCAAAATCATTAAAAAATTCTAATTCTGTCCCCCAACCTTTCACCTCTGTGTCATAAGGAAATGTGGTCAGTTTGCATTCTTGGTGTCTATCCAACTCATGGACAAAGCGGTCACCAGCTCAGGGGCACAGACAGAGCCCTGGGGAAGTAGCAGCATTTTAGGAGACACATGGGACCCACACTGAGTAGTTCTAGGAATACACTGTAATCCTCATCCACGAAGTTGCATATTTGGGAGAGATAATGAAGGATTTTTGCAAGGGAAGGAGATCTCTAGGCCTCTTGGGGAGTTATTCAGGGGGCCAGCCAGAGAGGCATCACTTTTGGGTTTTTCTACTTACACAGATTTATAGCACATCTGAGTCAAAACCGAAGCTCTGAGGCCTGTGCAGTCACTGTAGATTTTGCCTCTAGATCTGGGTTTGGAAGCTGCCTTGTTGTTTTATTTTTTTGGTAAACTGTGCCAAGCCATGTTAGCCGATCT